ATACCTTGAAAACGGTTAACGATGCCTAATCTATACAGATGCGCATTCGAGTATTTATTTGTTTATAATATTCAGCGTGGATTATAATATAATAAATTAGAAGAGTAAATCTATGTCATGGATCATATTGCTAAAAATAAGCTTAAAGAGTTGTCTGTAGCAGGGTGGTGCTGACGTCACAGGCGAGCGCCCCCAAGGCTCTGTAGTCGGTTTATAGCCTAATGTTAGCTTTTCAGTTCTTGCATTTGTATTCAAGATCCAAAAGTGCTTAAAGTTGTATTTTCGTGTGAGGATTATCCGGCTGGACAAAACGTGTAAGTATAATGAACAGTGTTTGAACACAGAGCTTATTACTTGCAATCTTCGAAAAGCCTATGGAATTTTAATAATAATAATAATAATTCCTTACATTTATATAGCACTTTTCTGGACACTCAAAGCGCTTTACACGGTGTGGGGGGGGGTCTCCTCATCCACCACCAGTGTGCAGCATCCACCTGGATGATGCGACGGCAGCCATTTTGCGCCAGACCGTACACCACACACCAGCTGATTGGTGGAGAGGAGACAGAGTGATGAAGCCAATTATGATATGGCCAAATTTGGCCAGGATGCCGGGGTTAACCCCCTACTCTTTTTTGGAGGACATCCTGGGATTTTTTACGACCACAGAGAGTTGTGACCTTGGTTTAACGTCTCATCCGAAATTTTATCGAGGGAAACAGTTTTATGCTAGCAGCTGATTGGCCTACAAGGTGAGTGAAAGTTCCTCCACTCTATTAAAACAAACTTATTAAATATACTTATGTTCTGCTGAATTTGTTTGTTTAAATTTAGTCCATATAATTAGTTTGCTAGCAGTTACCTTAAAAAAAAAAATCCAATGAAATCAGTGTGTGCACTTTTTCTGAATTGCCACCTGAAGAATCAACACACACTCCATGTTCCTCACAAACTGACTTTCAGCACACAGCATGAGTAGCAGAAGAAGAGCTGTGGATGTTCAGCACAAAGCCTGACACCTCAGAGGAACAGTATAAATGTTTGATGAAGGTCAGCTTAAAGCCCGGCTGGAGATCGTCTTCAACCGCGGCCGGGAAAGAAGTCCGCTTGCAAGCGCACTCTTGGCATATGAAATAATAATCATAATAATACAGCAGCACATCCTGCCTTCACAAACACATCATTGAGCTGCTTTAAATAATAAATTACAGAAGGCACACAAACAGATGCCCAACATTATGAACAGGCTGAAGCTGCTGCAGCTAGTGTGCACTTCATAAGGTATTCATGAAGCTCCTTCCTGCGGTGAATAATCCACACCGGCACACGGATATCTGAACCAGAGTGTTTAAACTTGACCAGTTAAATCTGTGACTGAGTTCAAGGAACAAAGATCAGGGTCATAAAGAGTCTCTCGTAAGAGTAAATGAAAGCGAAAGAGAGAGAGTGAGGGTTTGCAGCCTGACCGCACGAGGAAACATAACTATTTTATGTTTTGTCAGTTTAGTGGCTAATTCAAATGTACGATTTTAAAAAGGAGGCGTGGCACCTAACCCCACCCCTAACCTCAACCGTCATTGGGTGATGAGAAAATCGTACTAAATTGTACAAATTACATCATACAAATTCAAAAAGTTACGAATTGCTGTGAGATTGCGTTGGGGTTTGACACACTTTTAAGACTCAAATGATAGCTTTTCGTCTGTATAGGCCATTTTGATGGATGTAAACAATAACAGTGGTCTTAATGCATTTCCTGTATTACATTAGTAGTTACTATAGCTCTCAAGAATCCAAAAAGGTTCACATATTGATAAATAATGTTATGATAGCTGTTTTAACATTAAGATATAACTGAATTGCCTCTTGTTACAATTATGAAATAGTTTGGCAACAACCAGGAAATGTTCATGGGCCAACGACATGACCACATTGAATGGTCATAAAAACAATTAAATAATTACTAAAATCTACAATATAGAACTGGTTTGGTCAGAATAAAGTTTGGTTACAGTGCGACAAAAAATAAATAAATGAAAAAAAATTTGGTTAATTTAAGAAAATTAAATTAAAATAATAATTGTAATGATAATAATAATAAACATGAAAATTGGTCTGTGCAGTGAATAAATATACTACAATTAAAATAATTGTTGTGACTTTGATTTTTTTATTTTATTTCATATTTTTAAAATGATTATAAGTTAAGAAATAAAGTTAAAACTTAAAGTTCAAGTAAAAAAAACACATTTTTATTATTAAAATAATAAAATTAAGAATTTCTCAATAATAATAATAAACAAAAAGAATTCATCTCATGATAAAAACGCTGAAAATAATAAATATAATAAAACCTGCAAAAACTACAATCTGGTCACAAAAAGTTTGGTTACAGTGTGAACAGATTTTTTTTTACTTTTTAAAATTCAATCAAATTCATTTTACAATTCACTTCAACTCACATGAGTTAAATCACTTAAAACATTAATGTGAAACGTTCATTCATTCATTTTCTTTTGGCTTAGTCGCTTTATTCATGAGTGGTCACCACAGTGGAATGAACTGCCAACTTATCCAGCATATGTTTTACACATTTTACGCATGTTGTTGCTAAGAAACACGCATAGGCGTGCGCACACGCACACACACAGACACAGACACACACACAGACACAGACACACACACACACAACGCATGCAGAACAGGGCAGCCGGAGCGACTCCTTTCAGATTCAACACGCATGATCGCTTTCATCAAATTTGCTTAAACTAAGCGTTCAAAAGTATGGCTGTATTTCACAAGGATTCTGACACAACAATGCAAAGCAGACACTGGCATTTAAGAGGGAAACATGTCAAACTTAATAAAACATTGGATAGTGCATGCTGAAAGGCAGAGGAATGCGATGTCTTTGACAGCTCGCGACTTCATCTGGCACTTCATTTACATAAGACACCAATACTCCGATTTTAACATGATTAAGATAATACTCTTATTAAGAGTCTACCATGTAAACAGCGATTTTTGATTACCTTAAAGGACCACTGAGTCATGAAATGCAGAGGTTTTTCTTTCCATTCGCCATGCGGTATCAAATTCCATTAAAACAAAAGTCGAAAGTTAAAAATGAAACACTCGAAATTGCATGAAACTCTGGAGAGTCTAGTAATGCGACATTAAATGTTTTATACTGAAACCTGTTTTCAAAAAGTGCTTCCTTAATCTTGACCATATTTCTTTGCACGTTAAACACGTGACCACAACAGGAAAAAAAAAACTGCAACTGCGTTAATTGCATTATTTTTTTCTTACGGGTTAATTATTTCAATTTAATCGCATATGTTAACGCAGTAATTTTGACAGCACTAATATATATATATATATATATATATATATATATATATATATATATATATATATATATATATATATATATATAAATTTTTCCCCCATTTTTCTTTTTCTTTAGTGACGTGGTTGTGGTAGGGGGTAATGTAATGCTTTAAATTGTAACTGCAAAAAACGTGTAATAAATAAATATATATATAAAAAAATAATAATAATAAAACCAACTTAGACCAGCCATAACACTTAAATATTACTTTTCTGATGATTTAAAGTGCTTTTTTAATCCTGCTTTGGCTAAAAGTATCTGCTAAATGAGTAAATGTAAATGTCATTACTTTCTGATCATTTTCTGAAGTGTACAGCAGAACCTGACCAAAAGATTTACCGACATACTTTTTTTGCAAATTCACTTCATAACATCAGCTCAGTGTTAACATTTTATGACCAGATATCAACTCAAAATGAGGAAGAACTGATAATATTCTTTTAATTAAGATGGATTAAAGACTATTGATTAGCATTGCTTTATTAACCTCCAAGGGCTTAGTGGCCACATACGTGGACAGCACATTTTAGCTCTTAAGTGGCTATTTAAAATACTTAAAATGTTTTATATTTTGTTACAGGCATACAGTGTCATCCTGCAACTGTTTTGCAGCATTTGAAATGTCCCAAACCTTATTTTTAACCATCCAAAATGGGAAGAAAAAAATTTGTTTTTACTATCTGATAGTCGAAACGTGTTAAAAAATGTTAAATATGTATTACAAAACAGTCAGGAGAAGGTGTTTTATGTAAATTGGGAATACAAGTCCACATATATGAACATCCCTTTTCTCTAAAAGTACATGACACTTGGGTTTTTATTCTAATTAGGTTCCAATAAGCCCAAATAGCAAAGATAAATAAAAAATGCATGTAAAAAAACACCTTGGGCCTTAAGAGGTTATTAAAATACTTGATTCTTATTATTTTGCTCGTACAGTGTAAACTAGAACACACAAACAGTTCTTTGTGTTTCTGTGTGTATGTTTATGAGTATGTGCGCATGTGTGTGTGCAGCAGATTTTTCAAATACGTGCTTTCCCTCACTTCTTTTGAGGATTATCATAGATTTGACTGTTGACGGTGTGAGGAACACTGTGTGCGGTCTGTAACTCGCTGTGATGTTTAACCATCAAGAGCTGAATGCTCTAATGATTGTTTAGAGGCCAATAATAACAACAGCAAATCTGAGCAAGACTGAGAGAATGAATGAAGGATTAAGTGAAGGATGACAGTGGAGAAAAAATAAATAAAAATGAGTACAACTTGTCCTGTGAGTTTATCATCTGGATTTTTGTACATGAGATGAGTTTCATTTAGATGATCATAAACAGTATCATTCTCAAAATGGTTCAAATAACCAATATATTTTTAGTTAATGTGTGTATAGCCCCATGTTTTACTTGCATTCAGCAAGATTGAGATGGCAAGTCTCGTTTCTGCTCTGTAAGCCAACAATGTGTCAAGTTTTAGCAAGGGCCAACCACTAAAGCTAAATCCTGCCGTCTTAAACTGCTTTAAACACCTCATCTGTTGAGTTGGCTTTAAAAGCTCCTCAAGTGTCTTTACTCTAGTAAGACTGAATAAGGTCAGTGTGCCAGTACCTGCAGGATGAGGATGAAGTAGTCCACGGGTTTGCCACGCAGGTACAGGTAGTGGTGTGAAGATTTCTTGTCATTCTCGTTGAATTTGATCTCCTGGATCACGTCAGGGTGTTTGAGGATACGCAGCAGGATTTTCTCAGAGATCTGAGACGGACTGAACAAACTGACCTCTGCAGAGTAAAAAGCAGAAACAAAAATAAACCCTCGAAATGCAGTTGAAGAGTGTAAAATGATGAACCCTCCTGTAAAACTGACATTATTTCTGATGTTTAACATTTTTCATAGGAATTTTCCCATCATATTTTTCTTCAGGATAAAATCATATTTATTTAGATTGGCTGGAATAAAAATATAGTAAATACTGCCACAAAATGATTGGCCACAAAGCAAACACTGCTGTCCAATGACTTGCCTAATTAACCTAGTTAAGCCCTAAAATGGCACTTTAAGATGAGCACTAGTATCTGGTAAAATAACAAGTAAGCTATTATGTAGGCATCATGGCAAAGACAAAAGTATTGAATGGTATTATTTTTTTTCCCCGCTCCATTTAACAGCATTTGGGAAATATGAATAAATGAATATATAAAAAAATAAATAAATAGACTGTGGCTGGGCAAACAAAACTGCTTCAAATCGGACTTTTAAATACTTTTGCATTCAAAAATAGGATTTGTATTAATTTTGCGAGATTAATCGCAATTTGAACGAGTATAAGCTACGCAAAAAATAAAAAATAAATCGCTTTTAAACTTAAATGATCATTCTTTGTTAATGACAGCTGTTTGTGTTGCTTCTCAGAGAACTACAGCTTTGTGTAGTAAATGCTGCATGTCAAATTACCACATATAATAACATGTTTTGACTCCAAACGCACTTCATAACTTCAGTCGAGTCTTTATTAGTCACGCTGAATCAATGAAAGCAGTTAAATCTTCTGTTTATACTGTAACACTATGGGGATTTCCTGAGTTGTTTCTTCGTGGGTGTTTACATTTTCTACGTAAGAGCACCCTCTGGCGTTTGGAGGAGAATTTTTACTGATAACACTGTGGCTGCGTACGAAACCGCCTACTACTCAGTAGGTACTGCATTTGAATTTAAACATACTACTCGGCCGTTAGAAAAGTACGTTCTTTACAGTATGAATGTGTAAAGTATGAATGGAATTCGGACGTACTACATGCGCCATTTTGTCATGGTCACGTGACCTACCTGCGTCAGTTGCGTCGCCTCACTTCCATTCATGAATTCTCTCACGGGGCATTATGGGATAGTGCAGCGTGCATGGGATGCGCACTTCAGAATCTCGCCGGAAGTAGTAAGTCATCCGGGTACTTTTTGCCTACTGATTTTCGAATTCTATGAATTCGGACATACTACTCGGCTCGCATACTGATTTTAGCATACTATATAGTATGGAAGTATGCGGTTTCGGACGCAGCATGTGACTCCCTGATAAGATGTGCATGACAATCGCAGATGTGCTTAAACGCTTTCGCAATTTCAATTTGACTAATCGTCAGTCCACACATTTGGGTAGCTATATTTTATATTGCTTACTTTATAAATGTTGTATGTTCTCTTTGTACACACACAATAATAACCTACTGCTGTTTAAGTTGTGCTACAGCTCCAAGTCTGAATTATTATGTGATTTGTATTTTATTTGTATTTTTTAATTGATGTTTAACAAAGCAAGAAAATTTTCACAGTATGTCTGATAATATTTTTCCTTTTAAAGTCTTCTTTGTTTTATTTCAGCTAGTATAAAAGCAGTTTTTAAATTTTTTTTAAAGCCAGTTTAAGGTCAAAATTATTAGCAATTCTTTTGATTGTCTACAGAATAAACCATCATTATACAATAACTTACCTAATTAACCTAGTTAATTCTTTAAATGGCACTTTAAGCTAAATACTAATATCATGAAAAATATCTAGTCAAATATTATTTACCGTCATCATGGCAAAGATAAAATAAATCAGTTATTAAAACTAATATGTGTTGAAAAAAAATTATCTCTCCGTTAAGCTGAAATTGGAGAAAATTTAAAGGGCAAATAATTCAGGAGGGCTAGGAATAATTCTGAATATTAATTCACTTTGATTTGATTTTATGCACAGTGTGTATTGCTTGTTTTTTTTGCCAGTGGACATATGCCTTCTCAGTAATTCTGGTGAGTTTGGTGCTGGATTCTTTACCTGTAGCGAGGAAGCGGTGAGCAGCCAGCAGCAGCTGAGGGGAGATCTTCACTTTAGACTCACTCTCATGTTTGAAGGCAGAAAAGTCTCGCTTGTTCTTATTGTGTGCAACTTTCTTTCTATTTCGGTTATCAGCTGCAAAGAACACACACACACAAAAACAAAGACTGATATGAGCACAACGGGAGAAAAAAAAATAGGACTTGGCCACACTTTTTTCTTTTAAGGTACAATTATCACTATTACTAAACCATTAACTTTTTCCTAAATACACTGCCAATTTGCTGCTTATTAATAGTTATTAAGAAAGTAGAAAATTACAAAAGTAGAAAATTAAGAAAGTAGGTATAGGGTAGGATTAGGGATGCAGAATATGATCATGCAGAATTTGTATGATACACTTAACATGATGATACACTTTTATTTAAACATTTGTATGTGTCAGTGCCTTCATAAACTGTGTGTTTGTGTGAAACCACACACGAAATGGTCTACGTTGCAGTACAGAAACAGTCAAAGTCAAACTCTGTTTGCTTTTAGATGTGCGAGTGTTGTATGGATAATTACAGATAAACGCATTGATTTTGCCACTGTCCACTCACTGTAGAGGTCAGACTCGTCCAGGATTTCGCATTTGATGATCTCCTCGATGACGTCCTCCAGAGTGACCAATCCCAGCACCTCATAAAACGGATCTCCTTCGCCCTCATTATTGACTTTCTGAACAATCGCCAAATGGGATTTACCTGTAGAAGAGGCGGACGAATACTTGGATTAGTGCAGAAGGCAGAAAATAAATCCGATCTAAACCAAAACCATTACAATCCAATAAAATAAAAAAATAAATGGTCCCAGTTTATATTACATGCTCTTAACTAATAGGCACATACATCAAAATGTAAATACAATGTACTTAATGTGTTCATAATACGTTTCAGATCACTTGTGGTGCTACTGAGGTTTAAGGGATGCAGATATAGGGTTAGGCACAGCTTTGGTGGTCTGGGTAGGTTTAAGGGTGTAAGGGATGGTCAACAGTGTAATTATAGATTAAATTATTTACAGATGCGATTACATGCATGTATTTAATCAAGCTTAAGTAAAATGTAGAACAATGTATTAACACAAGTACATTGTAACAAATTATTTTAAGTGCAAGTACATATTAGTAAATGCCACTTAAAGGGGCAGATAGTTTGCCCCCTTTTTAAGATTTAATATTAATATTATGGTTCTTCTGAGTGTGCCAGTTTAGGTTCAGTTCAGTTTTTCACCATAGATGCCCTTTAATATAAAGCGGGACCAAATATATATAAATATAAAAAATAAAATCTAACAGTGAATGAAATATACAGTAGTTCACACAGAACAATCCTTTTGATTTATTAGATCTATAAAGAAATATATAGTATTAATGAAATTATTCTAGGAATGATGGATTGGTAGACCTCAGTAAACACAGTAAATGCCTAAGAAATCATGACATGCTTGCATATAAGATATGAATATAAAACAAGATATTACCACGATACTTATATCACGATGCAACTTTATCATGATTTTAAATATATATTGTATTATTCTGTGGGATATTGTAATTATTACCTTTACAACATTAACTTATGTCCTCAAAGGAAAACTTTGGTATCATCCGTTCTAACCAGAAGGATTTCTCTCATTATTATTTATCTCAGTCTCATTTTATTGCTGCAGTGAAAAATGCTTTAAGCAGACAGATGAGTTTGTCATCTTTATTTTACTAACTTACTGCATGCTGAAGCACCCAGTGTTCTGACAATTTGTCTTACCTTGTCAGATTGTCCAACCTCTCAAAAAGTAGGTAGCACATTTTGATGACGCAATATGCTACCCATCAGATTTTGCCACCAGTGTAAATTTAGAAATGTACTGACACAATTTTTTCGGAACCGAACCTGATACAATAATTCTGAGTATCAACCGATACAGATCCGATTGAGATACTGTGCTGTTTTTGACTAAGAGTGCGCAACGTGTCTGAAGAGCGAGGAGGGATCCGGGGGAGAGAAGGGTGCGCGACTTATTTGAGGACCGGGAGGAAGACGTGGGAGATTAACACTCATTTGCGGGCATAATGAGTCCCACAAATGCATAGAGCCGGGAGACTGGGGATGTCTGAATGTTACGTTTAACAACTATAGTGAGACGCGATCCAGCGGTACATCCTTGATAAACTGTCCGACGTACACTGCTCTCTGGAGCTCAGAGGACCGCATGACAGTGTGTGGCTGTGGTCATGTGATGTGCGTTTTCAGCAGACGGAGGGCTGTTCAGAAATGCTAGGTAAAACACGGTGTGGATGTAAATCATTTTCGTTCAAAAATGGCATTTTAACACTAAGATGTATTTGCATAAATAGGGCCTAAGTGTGTAGTTTTCGCGAGCAGGTTTGCGACAGGGGCAGGGCGGAGGATCAGCGATGCTGGCTTAACATCGTATTGTCTATTGGCCATCTGCGCTGGATGATGGCATCATCTACCGGCCCAACACTACAACACATGCGCAAGATCAGATTTGGATCGGTACCAGCTGGCCGATACTCGATCCAGCAAAATATGTGGCACGTATCGAACCGATATCTGATCCAAGTATCGAGATCGGTGCATCCCCATAACTTTTAATGTGTAATAGTGTGATATGAGGCTGTAATATCATCCTAACCTACCTAATCCCTAACCCCAACCTCAGAACCATTCAATTACAGTGTCGGTAGCACCTGAAATAAACCTAATTTCAACACCTCCATCCTGTAAATGAAATAAATTGTTTGTATTCTTAAATCCAAATATTGTCCATATAAAGTATCGGCATGGATAATTTTGCAATACTACACATAATGTATATTTATGTATTGTTTAAAGCCGGTGAAATATAAAGTGGTGCTTAATTATATGTTATTTCTTTATATAACACTGAGAACACAGAGTAAGAGCATAGGGTTCACATAGTTTATGCTGCACATAAATAGACAGGAAATCCTCAAGCGTTTGCTCATCAAAACAAAGAGCCTGGATTCAGAAGTTACGTGTAGACATAACAGTGATATTAGGAGACAAAACAGTGAGTTGTGAAAAAATTTAGTATCTTAGCTTACAAAATATTTCCATGTAATTGTCCTGTGCAAAATCACACACACAAAAAACATTTCCTATGTTCCTCCACAGACGTTTGACTGGAAATGTTAAGACTATTGAAAAATCAAGAAGATTTCATTGCAATATGGCATGGGGATACTAAAATTAAACTTGCAAGAAATGTAGGTGGCTTTATACATGAAAGAATACCAACAAAAGTTCCAACATTTATTTTATTACAGGATTTACTCATATTTGTTAACATTAGGTAATAAAAATAATTGAATTCATTAATAGTTATTGCTAACTTGTAGACCATTAAAGGGAAAGTTCACCCAAAAAAACAAAAAAAAAAACCCTGTCATCATTTACTTGCTCTTTACTTTTTCCAAACCTTGAAACCGGTAACCATTGACCTGCATTGTTTTTCTTACTAAGGATGTCAATGGTTACCAGTTATCATCTTTTGTGTTCAGCAGAAGAAATAAAATCTCAAAGATTTGGAACCACACATGGGAGAGTAAATTTTCATTTTTGGGTGAACTATCCCTTTAACTTATGTTAAAAAGAACAATTTGGGATTTTTTGTTCATGCTAGTAAATACAAAAACCAACATTACAAAACCTTATCATAAAGCGTGACTATTGTTCTAAATTTCACAATTATCAGCAAATAATACAGTAAAGACATTTTTAACATTCATCATTTCTTTTCTTAGTCCCATTATTCATGAGGGGTTGCCACAGCGGAATGAACCGCCAACTTATCCAGCATATGTTTTACACAGTGGATGGCCTTTAAGCTGCAACCCAGTACTGGGAAACATCCATACACACTCATTTTACACACATACACTACGATCAATTTAGTTTATTCAATTGACCCATGTATGTCTTTGGACTTGTGGGGGACACCGGAGCACCTGGAGGTAGCCCGCACCAACACGGAGAGAACATTCAAACTCCACAGAAATGCCAACTGGCCCAGCCGGAACTCGAACCAGCAACCTTCTTGCTATGAGGTGACAGTGTTAACCACCATCGCCATTTTTAACATTAAAATTATAAATAAACATTAATAATAAACTGGAAAACATAGTAATACTTAATACTGATTTTTAAACAAATGTAAACTCATCTCAAATTGAAACATAAATATAAACATAAATATCATTCATTCATTCATTTTCTTGTTGGCTTAGTCCCTTTATTAAACTGGGGTCGCCACAGCGGAATGAACCACCAACTTATCTAGCAAGTTTTTACGCAGCGGATGCCCTTCCAGCCGCAACCCATCTCTGGGAAACATCCACACACGCACTCATACACTACGGACAATTTAGCCTACCCAATTCCCCTGTACCGCATATCTTTGGACTGTGGGGGAAAAACCGGAGCACCCGGAGGAAACCCACGCGAACGCAAGGAGAACATGCAAACTCCACACAGAAATGCCAACTGAGCCGAGGTTCGAACCAGCGAACCAGTTGCAGCCTTGGTTAACTAAAGAAACTTATTTTAAAAAATACACCACACACATAAAGAACCCAAAACATCTAATTGACAATAAGTTTCCGAAAACAAGCTAAATATAGTTAAAATACATAAAAATGCAGCTGCCGGAGTTCTTACCAGGTCTAGAAATATGATCATATCACCCCAATTTTATCCTCTTTACACTGGCTGCCTGTTAAGTTCGGTATTGATTATAAAATATTGCTTCTTACCCATACAGCTTTAAATATTCTAGCTCCTGTTCATCTAACCTACCTTCTGTCTCGCTACAATCCAACCTGCTCTTTAAGATCTTAAATATCAGAGCTTCTGGTAGTACCCAGAGTAGCAAAGTCCACTAAAGGAGATCGAGCCTTCTCATTTATGGCTCCCAAACTCTGGAACAGACTTTTCTGATAATGTCAGAAACGCACTCTTTCAGTTCAAAACTAGATTAAAGACTATCTATCTTATCCTGAGGCTTCTAGAGATTGTAACCTGTGAAGGGATGATGACAACCATAGAGGACTTCTAGAGGTATCCATAATCCTGGACCAGGCTGAATCCTGAACAAATGCTGTGGCAGTTACGGAAAAGTGAAATTCTTTCAATTGTTAAAAGACCCCAATGACATACGGGTCTCTGCATTGATCCCGTAGGCCAGCCTGAACATACGTCAGTGACCTACTTATACCTGCAGCTTCTCCACAATGGACGTCCAGCATTTTACAGCCTCCAGCGTCTAGACTGCAGCTCTGCACAAGAAGTTTGGCCAGAGGAGAAATGGTCATTCCCAACTGAGCCTGGTTTCTCTCGAGGTCTTTCTTGCACTTTTGTCAATTTGTGAAGTTTTGTCCCTCGCCACTGACTTGCTTGGATTGGGACTTGTGGAGCTACGCATTGACGGACTTGCTCTAGAGTGTTTGGATTTTCATCATTGAAAATTACTGACTGAACTGAACTGAACTAAACTGAAGTTTAACTCTGCAAACTGGACTGACTCAGTTTCAATTTGCTAAACGTTCTATGTTACACTGTTTTGACATGATCTAAATTGTAAAAGGGCTTGAGCAATAAAGATAAAAAAAGTTGTCACCATAACGTGTACATCCACACTTAAAAAGTCAATCAAAGACAAA